TGTGTGTGTGTGTGTGTGTGTGTGTGTGGTTGATGTATCAGGACGAAGGTCAGCTGTAATGACGTCAGAGTCGATGTAAACAGCTGATAAACAGTCACGTTACCTGTTCAGGAAACGGATGTGACTGTTTTCTTCATGTGGACGTGAGATGAACAAACTTTATCTTCTCTCCATCTTCTCTCCATCTTCTCTCCATCACCTCTCCATCATCTCTCCATCTTCTCTCCATCTTCTCTCCATCATCTCTCCATCTTCTCTTCTCCATCAGGATGTGGACGCCAGGTCCACACACAGCTTCTGCTCAGCTCCTTCAAAATAAAATACCATATATCCTCATACACTGCAGGACAACAGGTCCATCATCAGACCCACCGTAGAAATAAAGCCCTTTGTATTAATGTTGTAAAAATGACACAGAAAGTTCAATCTGTCGACAGTCACTCATTTACTGAATAAAAAGTGAATTATTGATGAAACAATAAGAACGATTTAAATGAGCTGGTGAAGGAGATTTCACTTTAAACCCTAAAGATTCAGATTATTGTGAGAGGACATAGAGGAAAGCAGCAAAGTATCGTGGTGTTGAAGGTTCAGCGAACAAATAAACCAGAAATAATTTACGGAAGGTTTACCACATTTGTGTACTTTTATTTTGAAAGCAGACTGTAGCGTGTTCCGGTGCTGCTCTGCCTGTAGGGGGCGACAGAGCAGATCTTCAGTGGAATTAAACCTCACGTTGAATACAAGAGAAAGAACCTTCGTGATTTAATTGAGAAAATAATTTAGTTTTACTGCAGAAAAAAACACTAGAAGAAGAAGAAGTAACTTTAATGAATTCAAGTTCCTGTGTCGCTTGAAACTTAAAATGATTTAATTCTTTAATTGTATTTAATTTCTGTATTTTAATTTCTGTCCACTGCACAAACACAAAACTCACAAATCCATCAAACAAACAACGCTGGAGTCAAAATAAGCGAACATGTGAAATATTTGACTTATAAATAATATGAACTTAAAATGAAACTGATCAGATAGACATTGTTAGAGATATTTCCTTCCATATTATGACGTGTGGACAGGAGCTAATTCTTTGTTTTACTGTAACACTTGATTTGATTTCCATAGTTTTTACACGTGTTTTGAATTGAATAACAGTGATTATTGGTAACAATATGTGTTTTCTTTAAAGAATTGATCCATTTAATCTTGTGATAGAAAATAAACCCACAGATTCCTTCAGTTTCAGAGCTTTTCTCTCATGCTCGTACACAAAAGGCTTTAAACTTATATGAATCATTTATTTACTTCAACAAAATATTGATTCATTTATTTTGTAAATAGTTTTTATCATCATGAAGTTTCTTTTTGTGCTGCGGTGCTTGTCCTGGGCTGCAGGGGGCAACAGAGGTCCGTCAGCGAGTCACTGTGTACTTCCGGTAACAGACAGAAGAAGAAGCGGAGGAGGCTGGTGCTGCAGGAGGATCGTAAACATGGCGAACACGTTCAGAAGTAAAGTCCTAAAGATTCACATGCTCATGTCACGTGTTTAACTCAGTGAAGAGTCTTGTTGATGTTGAACTGGTTAGTGACGCTGCTCCGCTCACTTCCGGTATCCAGAGACACGTCATTCATTGTTGTTGTTGTTGTTATTATTGTTGTTGCTTGTGGTAACTTCCTGTTTATTTCTTCTGCAGCTTCACTTCTTCTTCTGTGTCTCTTTGATTGTTTTCATGTTGATGTGTCCTCCAACCAGTTATCTGTATGACCCTCCAGCCCTAACCAGCCCTAACCATCCTAAACTAGACCCAACCATCTTAACCTAGACCCCAACCATCTTTAACTAGACCCCGACCATCTTTTACTAGACCCCGACCATCTTAACTAGACCCTGACCATCTTTAACTAGACCC